TCTTTGTGCTTCGTTTGAATCGGTTATTAATTCTATCTTCTCAATGTTTTTCTTTTCAGATGCTTAACTGCTGTATCGAGAGAAAACGGCTTTCCAAGATTCGAGCAGCAAGCCTACAGTTTTCAACTAACGTCAACAAAACCTCCGAAACAAGAACTAAAAGCAACGATTCAAATTCAGAAAATGTAGGCTTACGTAAAAGTAGTTCTAACGCTCAAATGGAAAGTTTAGAATCGCAGTCGAGTTTTTCGGATGATGACGAATTTTTCGAAGCCGTTGAAAGCCAAGATGAAGTTGACAAAGACAGTAGAAGCAATGCAGAGGATGTAAAAAATACAAAAAGGACAGATAATGACTTGAATGAAGATAACATTGATAATAATTCGTTAGTATTTAGAAGAGAAGGAGCCAAAGAACCATTTGGGGATTTAAAACTTCTCGTTTCTGGAGAACCGCTCTTAGTTCCAATCACTCAGGTAGGTTTGTTGCTGATAATCGTGGCTTAGAATTAAGCTGTTTAACGTTAGGAATGGCTGGTNACAGAAACGACTCTTTGACGAAACTAAGGAAGCTGAGAAGGTATCATCTGACATTCTCTATTTACCAATTTACTCTGTTTGTCCCCCAAATTTTGCATAAACTATTGTGGTGAATGTGAATATGCAGACGTCCCACTAGTTTATGAAAAATTTGGGGTGGCGCAAACAGAGTGAATTATGGGGAAATGAAAAATGAATAATTAAACTACAGCTGTACCGCCAGTAGAATTACTTTAACTGTCCCGTGCTACCATGGTAGGTGTTGCACTTTCTCGCTGGTCTCAAGCCTGCTCAAGTCGCTTTCCAGTTGTTTCCTGTGTTGCTTCACGCGTCAGTTCTTCGTATAGAGACAACGGGTAAGTAAAACAATGACTGTTTTTATGTCTCGTAGGATTGAACTCTGCTATGTTTATTGGAGCTTCCTGCGCATATGCCCTGTGGGCTAGTCACGCAATCTCTCTTCTCCCAACGTCTTCTGAAGAAACATTCTCGCCGCTGGGGAGGAGTGCGTGACGAGGCACAAGAGCGTCTGTGTACGAGGCTATTGCTTATTGTGGACTCTATAAATTGTGTTGTCCATTTAATGGACGACAAAAATGCTGCAAATATTACAATAATAATATTTCATATATTCATTTGAAAACAGCATTTTGTTAAGAATCCCAAGATCAGTTGGATTGTTGTGTAGGGGAATCTTTGTTTATGTTTGCCTCATTAGCACAAGCGATCTAGTTTCTGATCGAGCTACAATAATAGTAATTCTGAATATTGAAAGAGCATAGCAAGATTATTTCAGAGGTCGACCCAGAGGTCTCGATGTCTTGGTCCTAATCAAAAGGATCGTGGGCTCTGAGGACGAGAGATTGCTTACAGCTTAGTCGCTCAGGAAGGAGGTTTCCGTATAACAACGTACAAAATTCAGTTCAAATAACAGAACAAAATAAAACAGGTTTCTTTACAGCCATGAACTGATTTCATCTCTTTTGCCAGGTGCACGAGACATCCCTGCAGTGTCATCTGTTCTGGATGAAGTACTTAGCAACGCCAGCAAGTTATCTTGGGAAATGGCACGAGATTTGCCTCGTTGTGAGGTACGAATTGAACAAGGGATTATCGTGTTACTGGAACGTTAATTTCTTTCCTCCTTGTTTTGAATAAATCACGAATAACCCTAGTTCTTACTAAGTCCTGGGTTGTTTTCTGTAAAATTTACGAGACGTTGGTGTTTGGTTCACAATGGTGCAGAAGAATTGATCTTGTTTAATGCCTTTGTGGAGAATACTGTTGTGCTGTTAAATATTGAGTTTAGAAAAGCCAAATAATAAGGGTAGAGCTTTGATGCTGTTGAAGGGTACAGTAAGACCAGTTTTCNTGTTAAGAATCCCAAGATCAGTTGGATTGTTGTGTAGGGGAATCTTTGTTTATGTTTGCCTCATTAGCACTAGCGATTTAGTTTCTGTTAGAGCTACAATAATCTTAGTTCTGAATATTGAAAGAGCATAGCAAAATTATCCCAGAGCTCTCGATTTCTTGGTCCTAATCAAAAGGATCTTGGCGGACCCCGGGACGAGAGATTGCTCACCGCGCTGTCGTTCAATAAGGAGGTTTCCGAATAATAACGTGCAAAATTGAGTTCAAATAACAGAACAAAATAAAACAGGTTTCGTTACAGCCTGCCATGAACTGATTTTACCTCTTTTGCCAGGTGCACGAGACATCCCTGCGGTGTCATCTGTTCTGGACGAAGTACTTAGCAACGCCAGCAAGTTATCTTGGGAAATGCCACGAGATTTGCCTCGTTGTGAGGTACGAATTGAACAAGGGATAAACGTGTTACCGTAACGTTAATTTATTTCCTCGTTTTGAATAAATCACGAATAACCCTTGTTCTGACTAAGTTCTGGGTTGTTTCTGTAAAATTTAAGAGACGTAGGTGTTTGGTTTACAATGGATGCAGAAGAATTGATCTTGTTTAATGCCTTTGTGGAGAGTTGTTTACTGTTGTGCTGTTAAATATTGAGTTTATCAAAGGGTAGAGCTTTGATGCTGTTGAGGGGTGCAGCAGGACCAGTTTTCATGTCACATAGGAAACATGCTACTTCCCTAAGATGTCAAACGTTGCACGTGTGATTGTTTTCATTTTGGATGGCTGAGAAGTTTGGAAAAACCATCAAAAAGATGTCACAAAGTTGAGCATGCGGGTTTTCACTCTTTGATTGGCTGAGAAGTTTGGAAAACCATCAAAAAGAAGCCCAAAAAGTTGCACGTGCGGTTTTTCGTTCGAGAAGATCAACAGAGACACGAACAAAGATGTCAAAATGAAATTAGACTACGAGTAGTCCCTCTTTCTCTTAGTCCATCGTGCGTGACGCGAAAGAAAAACGCGAGGAAGAAAACGGCCGCGCGTACCCAGGGTTTCGCGCAGCCATTATTTCCTTGCTGTTTATCTCGCTCGTCGGACTAAGCGAAAGAGGTACTACTCGTAGTCTAAAATGCAATTAAAGCCTTTACCTTGTAGCATAGCTGCACAGAAGATAATAGCCACGTAAAAAATTATCTATTGTTGTAGGAATTTGTAAAACAACTGAAGCTGTCAGAACTGGCAATTGCTCGTGCCCATTCGTTGCGCTTCAAATTTCAAGATGCACTCTCGGAAAAAGGAAGAGACAAGGACGTTGAACAATTCTTGTCGGCTTTGACAGAAAAACCGGAAGTGGAAGTTATTGGTGCCGGTAGAGGACCAGCTGGAAGAGTAATCCACCGACTGTTCGCTAAACAAGAGGTTTGTTTGGTTTTCCCAGTGGTAACAGTGATATTGGACCCTTTTTTTCTTCTCCATAACTATGCGTTTCTTCACTATTATTATAGTTAAACTCCACTTCATGGACACCTCGTTACTAAGGACCGCTTTTGGTCCCTAACTCATTCATTTACTTGCTCGATACGGACGAGGTGTCGTTTTTAAAAGAGCTACGTCACGTTCGCGTATCTTGAAAAGTTTAGCCAAAATTTTTCAAGTTCGTCGTTTATAACCCGTGTTTGTCTTCTCCATCCTTAACTATCCTTGTTCCTTTATGGTTTATTGTTATCTCTTTGGTGTAACTCAAAATACCTTGACTCAGCTCCTTTAACAAAAGTGGACTGTACTAATTACTTGAAATTCCTATCGCAGATTTGTAGAACTTTTTTATAAAGATCTTCTCGTGATTTTCTAGCTGAACAACTTTTATCGCGTTTGTTGAGCTCTTACAACGTACTCCAACCAATTAGGGTGCATTGTTATCTCTTCTATCAATAAAGTTGTTATCTAATGCGATCTCCGACGTTTATCACAGGTTTCATCTTTTCCCCCGCTTGCCACCCAATACTTGGTTTTCCGACCCGCATTTTTTCTCGTGTCGGTTTATGTCTTCGCAAGCCATCCCATACAGGTTTTCCCGCACTTGTGATCTGTGGCATTTTTTCTCGCGGGTCATGTCGCCCGTTACCTGTTTTCCATTATAGTTTTTCCCGCGCTTGTCAACAGGTACATGTTTTCCCGCGCTTGCCTTCCGTTACACATTTTCCCGCGCTTGTTGCCAGTTAAAGGTTTTCTCGCGCCTGCCACCCGTTACTTTGTTTTCCCGCGCTTGCTATCAGTCTTATACTTGCTTCGAATTCTGATTGGTGGATTACGCTGACCTCTTGCAGCTGTATTTGATAGACCTGAGCCGGGTTGTTGGAAAGCCGGTCAACGCTAACCCAGGACTAAAAGTTAACCAAAGTATTAATTTTTCTTGTTTAAACATTCTTTTCAGCGTCTATGTTTTGTATAGTTTGAGATTTATTCAACTCAGCACTGAAGGACAAACAATATAAAGAGGAAACCTCACAGAAAAGTTACGAAACTGAAATCAAAATTCCCGCTAATCCTGGGTTAGCTTAAGGTTACCAATACCTTCGCGGGTGTCCTTCAGAAAAAAAATCATACCGGCGTTGTTTTTAAGGAAACTATCACAAACTATATATAAAAGAAAGGTTATGCACTGTAGAATTCGAAGAAAAAAGTATCCGCTAATTTGGCCGTGCCTTTGTTGAGAAGAAAGAAGCCCGGAAACGGAAAACAACTGATTGTCATTCGGCTGAATTAATCGAGTATCAAACCCGTGCAGTAATGTTTACATACTGCTCAGTGTTAATCAGCAAGCATCCCCAGAGGGTGTCAGGGTTTTTCTGTATTCTTATAGGTTATCTTTTTATAGACCCGTAAACTTACAACATTAAACAATAGTTTTCGCCGTTTGAACAGTTGTAAACATGTCACCCCTTTATTCGGATGTATATCAACAAAATATGCCGCCAGCCAGTGAAACTAAGGCATCCCTAGCGTTCATAGCGAGCGAAACGATTTTCGCGGGAATTCCAAGGCAATAATAGCGTGAATAATTGTCTAAATAACTCGCGCACGTTTTAAGATTTTACTTTCATTTTTTGGGAAATGTTAGATTATATAGAAACCTTTTTGTTAATTTAAAAAGAAAAAATTCGACAAAAGTAGCCCTCTCAAAGTGCTGTGTAACCTTAGTCCAGCTTCGAACAACCTGGCCCTGAGTCTTTTTTGACCAGTCGACGTAAAATTGCGTTAGTATATAAACACAGGCAAAGGGGATAAATTTACATTTTACAGATGAGGCCTTTTTCGTTCTTAACGGTAGCTTTGTTTTTTTTTC